TTTTAAGAGCATTGTCAGCTTCACTGACTGTGAGTATCTTTCTTTGTTGCTTTTATAAACATATAGAGCAATTCTCTATCAATCACGTTGAACCTCATTGTCCTGCTGTGAATTTTCATGTAAAATCTCTTCAGGGGAAAAAAAACCCACGGGTTTTAAACTAATTTCTGTTTTAAAAAAATACATGTAGTTTATTGTGTCAGATTGGCAGTCTGTCCGGAGTGTACCCCACTTCACGACCCATAGTACCTGGTGATAATGGTGAAAGAGCATTTAGTTTATTTTCTTTCTTTTTTTTATTCATGATCACTGGTGGCGCTTGAAATTTTCATGATTTGAATTGAAGTTGATTTGAACATAATTTTTTATGCTTATATATTCAAGGCTTATATAGCAAGGTCCAAGCAAGCAAAAAAAAAAGGAACTTATTCAGCTCAATTGCACAAGTCCAAAAAATCCACAAGCTGAGGAAAACTAAAAATTCCAAGAACACCAGAGGCAGCATAGACGAGAAGAGGAAAGACTTTGGTGATGAAAACAGGAAAGACAGGGCTCTAAATATTCACACCGAAGGCCAATCAGAGCAAGCAGATACACATGGGCCAAACTAGACCCAGGCAATAAAAACAATCAGACATGGGAGGAAGTAAAACTACACATAAGACTCCAGAGGAAAATAAAGCAGGACATGAATAACAAGAACCGAAGAAGCTAAAACATAACTAGCACTAAAATACAACAAAAAAAATAATAAAATAAATTAGTTATTCTTGACCAAGAATTATTAATTTCCTTTCTTCTTTCTTAAGAAATGAGCTTCATAATCTTCAAGACGTATTCAAACAAACAAAGGTGAATAAAACAAGCACACGCATTATTACTATTTGTTTTTTTTAAACTTAGGTTTCTTGAGGTGGAGATGAATTAACTAAACTCTTTTATTTATTTAGTTCATTTAGTCATTTCACTTTTTTTGCTGCCATGCAGAAATATTTTAAAAATAATTTATCTTGAAGTTTTGACTTAAGTTCAGCAGAAAATTCAAGTTATTTTCTCAGACATTTGAGCTAGTGAGTTCAAATTTTGAGATGCAGAGCGTAATAAATTTATTAGACCGTCTATCGTTAACTAGAAGAACACACAAATATTTAAAAAATGCCTCAAATTTGTTAAAAATGAAAAATCATGTTTTTATTTATCAGACAAATTCCTGCTGAATTCATGTTTTACACCCAGTTTTGAGAACACTAGACTTCTCTGAGATGTTAGAAATTAAACATAAACATCCAAGCAGTAAAAAAATGTTTCTGTTCAGGAAAGAAAGTAAATATTTCTACATATTTGTCAAAACTCAAAAAAATAATACTGACTTTTGAGATAATAACCTGAAATTTTGACATATGGATGCCTTTTTTCCCCAGAGGTGGAAACCAGCTTCCATATTTTGATGTGTTGTGTCAGATAACATTTATCATCAAGCACCTAATATGTATTTTTTTCACCCACAGAGATGTTACATCGCATAATTTTGCTTTTTGTGAGTCTGGTATTTTTGGAACAAGTATCCTTTGCAGATTTTACTTCTTCACAAATAGGTAATATGAAAACGTTTCAACCATTTCTATTAGCTTTCAGTGATACAGCACACATACACGTAGCGACAAGAAAATACACCATCTGACACTTATCACCTATCAGGACATAATAAAATAATCGATCCTTAGCAGGTCTTAAAATGAGGTAAATACAACCTCAGATGAACAACAACTCAAAACATCTTACACCATGTCACTTTTTTCCATGTGGGAAAAAAGATGTTGTGCGCTTTTCACTGCTCAGCTTTCCAGTTGCCTTCTTGGCTCAGCACCACACACGGCTCGCTCCCTGGTCCCGGCAACATCCTCAAAAGGGGAGACATGATCAGATGATGGAGGTCAGGTATGTGAGTCAGCCTCAACTGACACCACACCCTGAACCCATTGCTCCACCCCTCCGCTGCAGCTGAGCCACAAGCCACACTCCGACGCAGACATGTTATAATATGTGTTGTTGTTTATCTGAAGTAGTATGAACCTAACTTAAAGGACCAAATTGTTTTCTATTATATTTTTCACACAACTGCAAATCTCCAGATTGCTTTACATGTGTACTTTCTTACATTTTCTTGACTTTGTTTTCAGCGAAATGCACAGAAACCACACGTGAGACAGAAGACTTTGAACAGCTGAAGAAACTCAGGAACAGATTCACTTATATTGCAAGAAGCTGTAAAGAGATCAAGGACCGATATGGTGAATATGAAGGTGAGGACAATACAATCACACAAATCACAAGTCATAATTATTTAACGGGCAACATTCAGGATATTTCTACCCTCTTAAAATGAAACTATGTTTTCTTAATACTTTGTTTCCAGATGGGGTGTACTACCTCACCACAGCTAATGGCATGCTGTACCAGGGAACTGGTCCAACAGAAACACCTTTGGAACAGTAGAGAGCGCCACTGCTGATGACTTTAAGGTAAAATCAGCCGTGGTGGTAAAAACAGTGCTGGAAAGTAACATTAACTGAAGCACTTTACTTAATTTACTTAAAACTGATTGTGAGATCATAAAATGCAACACACTGCTGTGGTTAGTTTGTTGGAAACTCATCAGTTTCTTGCCAGATGAATTGTTTAGACAGAAATGCTCACAGGATACAACAAGAAGAAGCAACAATTAAATTCCTTGGTTTATCGTCTGATTGTGAATCTTAACCATGATGTAAATAACAGTATTAAACACCAATTAATATCATAGATAAAATATTTACCATAGGAAAAAACATTCACTTTAGTGTCAAACACTTTTGAAATTAAAGTATATTTTAGCTGGTTATAAGCTACAGTTCCAGCTTATGTCACTGAATTGGTTCGGTGCAGGTGGGCGTGGGATGTCACAAAAATTCTATTTGAAAAGAAAAGCAAAATATTTGAAAAGCAAAATGGAGCAATTTATGATGCAAAAGAAGTTAACTGGGCCAGAAGT